CATCGCCCGCTGCGGGCCCTGCGGCTCGCCTCCCGTGGGCTGCACGCCTTCCTCGCCGCCCTCCTTTCCGGGCTCCTGCTGGCGCTGTCCTGCTTGGGGGGTCGGCGGCGGCGGGCCGGAGCGCCCCTGGGAGTGTCCGGCTTCAAGGGCGCCACTCCTTTCCCGCAGGCGCGCAGCCCCTTCGGCCCGCTCGAGTCCTGGCGGCGCGCGGCGCGCACCGCCCCAGTGGCGGGCACCTTCGGGCTGCTGAGCGGAGCCCTGCAGGGCTACGAGGTGCTGCACGCGCTGGGCTACGGCGGCCAACCTGGCCTGGAGGGGCCCTGGTCCTGGTGGGCCTTCCAGCTCGGCCTGCGCCTGGGCGAGGTGGGCGTCGCGCTCCCGTTGGCGCTGCTGGGCCTCTACCCGGGGCTCTGCAGCCCCCGCGTGCCGCCGCGCTGCTGGGCCAAGCTCTTCCGCTTGTCCCCCGGCCACGCCGCCCCTCTGCTGCCCGGAGGCTGGGTCGCCGGGCCCCCGGACAAGAAGCCCCTGGGGAGCGCCATCGCGCGTGGCGACGCGGAGCTGCTGCAGCTATGCGCCCTGGCAGGGCCGGGTCCCGACCTCCTTCTCCAGGGAGGAGGCTGCAGTGGCTTCGAAGGCGCGGCCGCCAACCCGGCCCCTTCCCCGGCTTCCTCCCCCTGCAGCGATTACACCGTGGACTTCCGCCCGCCCTCCCCCATCAACCTGCGGCGCAGCATCGAGGAGGCCCTCTGCAGCGAAGCGCTGCTGAAGCCCGGCCTCTTCCAGGGCCCGGCCTTCGGGGAAGCCCTGCAGGGGCTCGGCCTCTACCGCACCACCTCGCTGGGGGCGCAGACCGGGGCCGGGCCCACTGGGAGGTCTGGGGAGGCCCCTGCTTCCCCCGCGGCCCCCGAGCTCCCCTCTCCCGGGGCCTGGCTCGCGGGCAGCAGCGCCTCATCCGGCTCGCTGTGCGGACTGTCGCGGGACAGCTTGTCCATGCTGCTGTGCTCCAGCCCGGACAGGCCCCCTCGCTGTCCGCTGGTCTGCGTCCTCAGTCCCCCGCGGCCCTCAGGAAGCAGCCCTAACCTCCCGGCCTCAGGATCCTACCAGGCCCTGTCCCCACCCTCCCGCGACTCCCCAGAGCCTCCTCCTGAGCTGCAGGCCGAAGAGGCCTTGCTGCAGGAGCAATTCCTGGACGCCTGCCGACAGATTGACGAGCTGAGCATGGGCAGCGACACCATAGACCTGTGAAGATGTGGGCCCCTCGCCGCCCCGACAATACGCCCCCTTCTGGCGCCTGTTCTGCCCGAGACCTGCACACTGTAACCCTTCCCCAATCCCGCCTGGCTCAGATACCTCTCCCTGCTTCCTTTCCCATCCAGGGACTCCTGGATGGGTGAGTCAGCAGCCAGGTTCTGTTGATTGGGAACTAGTTCCACCTTCTCTGGAGCCCTGGGCACTGATGCCCTCAGCTGCAATTCTAGGCTGGCAGGGGTCCCACTTTCCTTGGCATTCACCAGCAATAAAGCTCCAAGGTGCTCCACTCCAGACCACCACTTCCCACTCTGGTGCTGAGTGAGAGGGGCTGTCCTCAGCCGACCTCAGGACTGGCCTCAGTCCCCACAACCACCTCTGCCATGCCCAGGAATCCCACCCCTGCGTGAGTGAGACTCCCTGTGCTGCACATGATCCTTCCCCATAAGAAGGGTCCATGGCCCATCTAGGAGACTGTACAGCAGTAGCGTGGGAGGTGAGCGCTTTCAGAGTTAATTTATCAATAAAATATTTTCAGAGGAGAAAGGTCTCACCTTCTTGGAAAAGCTTAGATGAGGCAATGGCAGCAGTGGTTCTGCCAGAACTGGAAGAGGAGCAGTGTTTGTGTGGGGTGGGTCCATGTCAGACCCCAGTGACCTTCACTCCTGACTGCAAGGGGTCTTGTCCTCCGCATGACCTTTCCCCATAGATGGGTCCATGGCCCATCTGGGCTGAGTGAGGGTCCTGGGAGTGGCCCCTTGAAGACCCTTCTGACTCCCTGGGAAGTGGCTTTTCAGAGTTGGATCACTGCCCTGAGAAATGAGGTGGAAACTCTACAGTCGTTGGTGGAAATGTCTGCATTCCTAAGAAACTGGCTTCAGGTCCTGATGGACAAGTGGTTAGGGACTAGCTAGTGTCAAAGTCCTTCATGGAAATGTTGATACACATCTCAAGGGCTTGATCACTCTGAGCTGGGTTTCACAGCAACCTCCCTGCCACGTACCCAGAGGAATTCACAGAGGAAACTACTTGCTCCACCTACCAGCAGGACCTCTTCAAGTCTGGACTAACAACCCCCTTCCCCTGGAGAACATTCATCTCCCACAGGTGCAGATCTTCCCTGGAGAAAGCCTGTCTTCCCCAAACCCCAGCCCCATCCTACCCACCAAAGCAGAACTCACAATGCAGAGACCCATGAATATATCTGGCCACCAGGCACTCTGTAATCCCTCCCTTGTCCAGAGCATTTGGCTCTGAGCTCTGTAGTGTGCATTCATCATTTGGCTAAAATGCGGTAAGTTCGGAGTGGCACTAAAACAGAGTCATAGATTTGAAAACTAAATTCTGGCAGTGTTTTGGCAGATGTCCTGCACATCACAGGGAAGCCTACAGGGGCACACATACTAGGCTTGAAGTGGAAAAACAGGAATAGGGATGGTTTTTCTTCCAACTCTGCCCATCAGCGAGTGTGGATTTGAGAAGGGAAGCAAGGGAGGCAAGAGGGAAGCAGGGAGGGCGGGAGGGGAGGGGGCCTCACCAGACCAGGTCCAATGCACTAGTGGAAGAATTAAAGCACTGCTCTCCTCACCCATGAAGCTCTGTCTTGGCTGAAAGGAGCATCCAGAGCCTGGAATCTCAGAAGGAGGAGGGAAGCCAATGATGCTTGGGGCAAGTGAGGGTCATCATAGGGAAGAAAATGAGATGAGGGTGGGGCAGGCACAGCTGAGGAGTGGGACTGGAGTGGTTCTGACTGTGTCTCCTCCATCACCTGGCTCAGCTTGGCTCAGAAATTCTTGCTGCATCGTCACTCTGGGCTGAGGCCCAGAGAACTGCCATCCTCCTAATTACAGGCATTTCTCACTGGTGTCAGTAGTGGCTGTAGCGGCCCCAGCACCAGAGCTGCTCCGAGAAATTGTTTCCCTTCTTGCCCACTTACCCTTCCATCTGCCTCTGCTCACACTCAAGTCCTCTCTGCCATCTCTTTCTCATCCTAAACCTTGCCAGCTCCTCTCACTCACTCACTGTCCCCATCAAGGGTCCTTGGGTTCAGGCACACAGCTCTCAGAAAAGCAATCCAAGCCCCACGTACCCCCAGTCAGTCTCTCTGTATGTTTGTCTGTCCGACTCTCTCTCTCTCACAGAAGTGGGCACTTGCTCGCGCGCATACACACACACACACACACACACACACACACACACACACACACACACACTCCTTTTCTGTTTGGAAGCTCTGAATGGGTCTGGTGAGATGGGGAGGGGGCAGGGGAATACAGCTTGTTACTCACCAGCTCCAGCACTTCTTTGATTTTCCTCAGCAAGAATCGCCTAAGCCCTTTGACTTGATCAAGAGGCTGAGACTTTGGTGAGACAACCCTTCCCTTTTGTCTCATGCCTCAGCCCTTCCTTACCCAAAGCAGTTTCCAAGAAGAGCCCGGGTAGGCCAGGGTGTAATATATACGCCCTCAGTTCCAATTCTTAGTACTGTAGGAGACTGAGAAACAAACTCACCTTCATTCATTCAGTCTCTTTAAAGCATTTTATTGGATGCTTACAATGTGCTAGGTGATGGGAGTAGACAGGTGAACTAGGTGGACAACAGCCCTGAACTTATGAAGTTGAAGGTCTTTTGGGGAAGGCAGACATTAAAGAGTTAATCAGATAAATAATTACAATTACACAAGTAATTAATTACATTTGCGAGAAGTGCTAAGAACAAGACGTATGCGGTATTATAAGAAGGTTTGGCTTGAAAGCGGGAACGGAGCCAGAGGGATGGGGCTTCGGAGAGGCTGGCTGAGCACAGGCCACGCCTCTCTTACTTCCTTTCCAGGCTCCTGCAAGTGATGGATGAGAAGAGGCCAGCAGTTTATTTCCCCTGGAAGCCACGTTGCTGATGTGGTGCAGGGTACCACGACTCCTGCTATTTAATAAAGAACCCTGCATGTGTCCTGGTTAGATGGATGAGCAAATGTTCCTGATTGAAGAACCACATGGCTTCCCTGTTACAAATGGATAGGAGGGGATGGGGCTGAGGCTGAGGCTGGGAGACTGAGATGGGGAGCCAGGTCTGAAAGTAGGGACGAGTACAAAGGGTCAGCAGCATTGCTACACTCCCCTAGGGGCAAAGCACTCCTCCGTACTGTGGGTGGCTGCTGCCCTCTGATGGGCACAGGGACACAGTTTCCTTTTGTTCTATAGGGAAGGTTTGGGTCCAAAGTATTTCCAACTGAGCATTGTAGGGTGTGTCCCAAAGGGATGTTGGAGCAGCCTTCTCAGGATTCTTTCCCCAGTGCGCACTGCAGCCAGGACTGGGAAAGCCTCCATATAGCTAGGGCCCTGAAGCTTGCAATTTAGACTTTGGGTATGAAATTTTGATTTCTAAGGTGATGAGGGGGCAAGAGAGGAGAAGAAAGAGAGAGGAATGTGGAATTCCAAACCAACTGTATTCAGATGATCCCTCCCATTTCCTTTGTCTATTTGTCTCTCTTTATCCTGGATGGAATTAACCCATGGCCTTAAAAATCTGTTTTTTAGGGCTTCCCTGGTGGCGCAGTGCTTGAGAGTCCGCCTGCCGGTGCAGGAGACGTGGGTTCGTGCCCCGTTTCGGGAGGATCCCACGTGCCGCGGAGCGGCTGGGCCCGTGAGCCATGGCCGCTGAGCCTGCGCGTCCGGAGCCTGTGCTCCGCAAATGGGAGAGGCCACAACAGTGAGAGGCCCGCATAACGCAAGAAAAAAAAAAAAAAAAAAAAAAAAAAATCTGTTTTTTATTTCAGTACTTCCTCTGCTGAGTTGTGTGTTTAAAACTAACTGTGGCATTTTCTTTTAAGCGTATAATAAATGCTTAAAAGCTAGGGTTTCATAAATCTGATGTTAAACGTTCTCCCTTTCCCCCTGTCACTATCAACCAGTCATCCATCCAACCAAAATGTGCTGAAAGTAGATGGGGTTTGAGGAGAAGGGGAAACACTTTTCATTGTACCTTTTGTACTTTTTGAATTGTCTACCTACCCTGTGTTCAGGTTATGCCATTTAAAAGTAATTATTAAAAAAAGGCATTGGGTACTTCTGTTCTGTACAAATGTTCTTCAGGGTGCGGCAGTCCTGCACACAGGCCAGTTCCTGGGCCCAATGGGATGGCAAACACTGTCTGTGTTCCAGGATCCAGGAGCACCTAGATCTCCTGGCCAGTGAGATTCCTCAGCCTTGGCTCTGTCTGATAAGCTGACCTGAGGAAAGATCTCCTGTCTCTGGGAGGACCTGGGTACTAGGTCTGTGTGTGCAAGCTGGATGTCATGTTTGTTCTGCGTGTGTTCTCATGTGATCTTACATGGTGCAGGCTATGATTTATTTGTAATTTTTAAAATAAATCTATATAGTTTTATTAAGACAAAAACTGACAATGTTGGTATGAAGTTTAACATTTAAACAAAAGTTTTCACAGAAACCTAACACGTGTCTAAAAAGATTTTACAAGGGAGTTCTAGATGCAGGTCTAGACGATGTCAAGAACTGATGGATCTCATGATTCAAGACAGCATTTTGGGTTTTAGTTAATTCTTAGGATTAAAAAAATTTGTTTTGCTTTAAAGTGAACCACTGCCCCAGTATGAAAATTTAATCTTCTCCTGAGACCAGGGCTTCTGAAATCATTCGATTCTTGAAGTGATTCAGTGAATTTGTGCTGTCAGTGACTGGACCCTGCCACCAATGGTTTCAAAGTTCAAAAAACAGAGGCTCCAAGAGTTTTCCACCTAAGAGCACCAGACCTTGTCTTTGCCTCCTCTCCCACCTCCTATACCACCCTCTGCCCTTCCCCATATACTTGCCAGTGGCTTGGATGGAGAAGTTGATATTTATAACTTCATAATTGGGAAAAAAAGGGTCTTCTTGTCAATTTCAAGAATTAGCACCTCCAAGACAGAATGATCTGCCTGTGTATACACTCCCATAAGACTTTTCCTTCTCAACCAGTTTCCATCCCTCAAATGGCAGCTTTGGTAACTTCTTAACTGGCTTAGTCCTTTGTTGGGAATAGCATTAAGCTCAGGCAGGGAACACCTTGGCCTCTAAGTTTCAGGTATTCAAAGCTTTCTTTTTCTTTCTATTTTTTTAACATCTTTATTGGAGTATAATTGCTTTACAATGGTGTGTTAGTTTCTGCTTTATAACAAAGCGCATCAGCTATACATATACATATATCCCTCTACCTCCTCCCTCTTGCGTCTCCCTCCCACCCTCCCTATCCCACCCCTCTAGGTGGTCACAAAGCACCGAGCTGACCTCCTTGTGCTCTGAGGCTGCTTCCCACTAGCTATCTGTTTTACATTTGGTAGTGTATATATGTCAATGCTACTCTCTCACTTCGTCTCAGCTCACCCTTCCCCTTCCCTGTGTCCTCAAGTCCATTCTCTATGTCTGCGTCTTTATTCCTGTCCTGCCCCTAGGTTCTTCAGAACTTTTTTTTTTTTTTTAGATTCCATATATATGTGTTAGCATACGGTATTTGTTTTTCTCTTTCTTGCTTACTTGACTCTGTATGACAGACTCTAGGTCCATCTACCTCACTACAAATAACTCAATTTCATTTCTTTTTATGGCTGAGTAATATTCCATTGTATATATGTGCCACATCTTCTTTATTCATTCATCTGTCGACGGACACTTAGGTTGCTTCCATGTCCTGGCTATTGTAAATAGAGCTGCAATGAACATTCTGGTACATGACTCTTTTTGAATTATGGTTTTCTCAGGGTATATGCCCAGTAGTGGGATTGCTGGGTGGTATGGTAGTCCTATTTTTAGTTTTTCAAGGAAACTCCATACTGTTCTCCGTAGTAGCTGTATCAATTTACATTCCCACCAACAGTGCAAGAGGGTTCCCTTTTCACCACACCCTCTCCAGCATTTATTGTTTGTAGATTTTTTGATGATGGCCATTCTGACTGGTGTGAGGTGATATCTCATTGTAGTTTTGTTTTGCATTTCTCTAATGATTAGCATTCACAGCTTTTAAACAGTCTCTCGCAGTCCTCATTTAGGCTGCCAATGACATTTTTTGAAAGGATGAAATATTCTGGACACAGAACCAAATCATTATTAGCTGTTCTTTCCTTTGTTTCACCATTTCCCCCATCAGGCCCCAAATTTTAACAAAAATTATCCTAGCCCATCTCCCTTATTTCCCACCCCATCCCTCCCACCCCAAATAATACACCAGTAATAGCCAAAAACTACATATATGCTATGCTGTAAAAATGCAGAGTTAACACTATTGGGAAGAAGGCTGTGGGTTGTGGAGATGCTCTTTTGAAGATCTACAGTATCTTTTGCTCTCCCACATCCCATTCTGCAACTTTTGTCCTTCATAGAAGGCCCTTTGCTTTTCTCAGCAAAGTTCAGAATGGGTTGCCTTGAAACGCTGACCCTCCTTCCCCTCCACCAGGATGGGTGTGCAAACCAGCATGGAGTGACTTTAAAGCACTTGGGCTGCTGTAGGGCACAGAAACTATACTGGCTCTTCAAAGGACATCTTCTCAAGCTACCTCTATGGTGTCAAGACAAGTAGAACTCCTTCTTTCCCCCACTTGAAACCCACAGTCAGATGTGACAGGGGCTGGTACTCAAGAGAGTTAATTCTTGTCATCTTTTTGTCATCATCCTCCGAGGGGTAGGAATGCCACGTCAGCCTTTCCTCATAGAAGGATATGACAACCTGTGGGCACTTGACATTGGCTTCCTTGGCAGGGACCAGGTCAACCTCATCAGAGTTTTTACATTTCATCAGAAACATGAGTTCTCCACTGGAGTCTGTAGCTCCAATAATCCACTGCGGTTCCAAACCCTGGGCAAAGCCTCGTGGCTTTTCTGACTCTTCTTTCTTCTTTGGTTCGCTCTCCTTCCCCTTATCTTCCGAATCAGAATCAGCTTTGCGCTTGCCTCCCTCTGATTTATCTGTCTCGTGTGCTGTTTTCTGTGATGCAGGAACTCGGCAATGAGGTCGGGGCGATCCAGGTTTTCTTCTGGCTCCCATGTGTCGTCCTCATCCGAGGACCCCTTCCACTTTAGGAGGTGCTCCACTTGGCCCTTTCCCTCTCGACGGTCGAGAACTTTTCCCACCACATATTCTTCTTCTAGCACCTCCTCCACTTTCTTCTTGTTTTGTTTTTTCCCCATAGCGCCCGCCAGCTTTCTGGTATAAAGGGTGACGCTGCTCAGAGCAGCGCCCACGAGCCCGAAAGGAATCGGTGCTGCGCTCCAGGCGCGTCTTGTCGGGCCGGCCGTGGGAGTGGCGACCAGTAAAGCAACAAGACGGTTGACTGCGATTGAGCCCCTCACTGAAGCGGCGTACTGCAGGCCCCGGCCAACGGCCCTCATTTTTTTTTTTTTTTTGATTAATGTCTGTCTACCCTCACGAGACTGTATACCCCATGAGGGTAGGGGTCCCATCTTTTTTTTAGCTCACCAATTTTATCCTTACTGCCTGGCACATAGTAGGAGCTCAGTAAATATTTTTTTTGAAAGAATGTGTATGATGTGTGCCTATTTGTACTTTAGTAGCTATAATTTGCGAGAATTGTTAAAGGCAGAGTTGTAGTTATCTGCTATAGTGTGACAGATGTCTCATATTCTCTGAGAACATGAGAATTGTCCGAATGATGTATGTGACGTACTTGTGCTGATGTGCATTCTGGCTGTGTTTTATGCACGTAATCTGGGAGTCTGTGGTGGCACTTCAGAAAATATTTATTAAACATCCATTATATGTTAGATCCTGGGTTAGGGCCAGAGTAAAACCAACTTCTCCAGCCTGCCCTGCTGAGTTTGGTATCGATCTCCAGGAGGTTAGATTGTAAGCAGTGTAGGAAATAGCGAAGCCGAATTTCTCTACAGCGGCGGAGGCGGTACTTGGATTACGGGTGGAACCCCGCTCAAGAAGCTCCGCCCCCGGGCGTCACGATTTTTTCCTTCCGGAATGTTTTTTCCCCCTTCTACCACGTTTTCCTCCGGACTCTTTTGAGTGAAGAGCACTTCCTGAGTCTCCCGGTAGCTTGGCGTGGTCCTCTTACTAAAACCTGTTACTTGACTCGCGTGCGCGAAGCCGTGAGTTTCTCTTCTGTTTCTCGGCCTTATGGCCGGGCTGACCCTGTTTGTGGGCCGCCTCCCGCCCTCGGCCCGCAGCGAGCAGCTGGAGGAGCTGTTCAGTCAGGTGGGGCCGGTGAAGCAGTGCTTCGTGGTGACTGAGAAAGGTAGGGGGCGGGGCGGTCGAGGACAGAGTTGGGGTTCCTGGGAGCCGGATGGGGGCGAGGACACCCAAATTTAAGCGCCCCGTATAGTCCTTTACCTGCCCCATAGTGAAAGGACTTGGAAGTTGAATTTCTTTTCTAAACGGACTCTGCTTTAGATGAATCCATACGGGCCGTTTCTGAAAGTCAAATCAGTCCCTTAAGTTTATGTAGCGCTTTCCGTTTATTATGCGCGCTCACATATAAGATCTTATTTGGTAGTAAATAACTAACTTTTAATAAAACACCAGTAAGGCTTATTGAGAATCAACTGATTGCCACGTGCGGTGCTTGAGTTCCATGTGTTATCTCATTTAATTTCCCCATCGGTCTTGTTGGGTGGAGAGTTAACTCCGTTTTACAGACGAGGAATCTAGGGCTTAGGGAAATTTAGTAATTTCAGCTTAAGTTCATACAGCTAGTAAGCAGTGGATTCAGAATTTGATCACCAGACCGGGAGCTCTTAACCAGTATGTTATTCATTCACCCAGTTATTTGTTCCGTAAATATTAATTGAATGTGTATTTTGTGCCAGGCAACTATTGTAGGTCCTGGGGATACAGCAGTGCACGGAACCAAACCAAAAACCTTGCTCCTGTGTTCAAGATGGGGAAGACAGCCAATAAGCAAATAAGCAAAATATGTAGTGATAATGGTGATAAATGTTGAGGAGAAAAATAAGGCAGAGAGAAAGGATAGGGAGTCTCTGTAGATGTGTGTGTGTGGTGGTGGGGAAGCTGTAGCGGGGTGAGGAGTAGCCAGGGAAAGCCTTTCTGATGTGAGAGAGTGAACATGTGTTTCTCAGTGGGAGGAGCAGCCTAGGCAGAGAAAGCTAAAGGATACTGAAGAGGAGTGTGTGTAGTATATTGGAGGAATAGTGAGGAAACCGGGGTGACTGGAATGCAGTGAGTGAAGGGAAGAGAATTAGCAGATGCGATCTGGTGCTACCAGATCATGTAGGACCTTATAGGCTGTTGCAAAGACTTCGGCTTTTACTCTGAGATATGAAACCACTGGTTTTGAGCAGGGAGCAGTAGATATGATATGGCTTGCATTTTGGAAGATTCTCTCAGGCTGCCGTGTTGAGAATAGGCTGCTAAGAATAGGACAGAAGCGGGGAGACCAGTTATTAGGCTCTTGTGGTAATCCAGGTGAGAGAGAGGTCATGGTGTTGGACCAGCTGTTGTAGCAGTGAAGGTGGTAAAAAGTGATTGCAATATGGATATTTTTGAGAGTAGAGCTGAAAGAATTTGCTGATGGATCAGATGTGGGGTATGAGAAAAAAAAGAGTGTCAAGGAGTCAAGTCTGACTCCAAGGGTTTTGGCTTGAGCCGCAGGAGATATGTACTGACTTGTGGAATACTGCCATATGCTTTGCATTCTGTTTGATGATTATGGCATCACTATGAAGGAGGGTTAGCATGTATTAGACTGAGGAAGAATTGTAAGGGTTTTAATTGTAGAAGCATTTCTTACTCTTACCTAGACTGTGTCACAGGGCACCTGATGTTGCCCAGAACATAAATTTAACTTCCTTCCAAGTCATCAGTGTGTCTCTGTAGGTGGCTACCTCCTTGTCTTTCAGGAGAGCAACTGGAGGGAAGTAACATCCTGTGTACCTCTCTTTCCCCCCATGGTGTCCAAGTATGTGGTGAGTAGGCAGGCTAATAGTGTGCTAATAATCACTCTGTCCTTATCTTCTATTTTGTTAGTAACAGAAATTAGAATTAGGATTGTTGACATGGCTCTGATTGCTATACAAACCATAGCTGCCTGGTTCTTTGTCATTTTAAGTATAGACATGGGCGAATGAGAGAATGAGAATGAGTGCTGTATAGCAGTGTTTCTTAAACTGCAGATCATCGTCCATTAGTGGGTCTTGAGTGGGTCATGATTAGAGATTTTTTTTTTAATGAAATGGAGTATATCTATACATGTAAAGGAGAAGTTTTCATAAAACTTTTTTTTTCAGTTTTGTGAAAAACGGCATCCTGGATCCACTATAAGTTACGTTTGTTACTGTGGGTTATCAAAACAATTGAGAAACGCTGCTCAACAGTGGTTGGTTGTGTTCCGGGGAGGAACAGGCCTTTGAATGGGAGTTCTCCTTTTGGGTCCTCAGAATATAGGCTACATGTAACCTTACCTGTAGCTTGTGTATGTAGTCTACATCTTTAACAGAAGCTGCTATTTCCTTTTTAAGAAAAAACGTGCTTTTCTGTCCAGGCAGCCAGATGTACTGAATGCTGTACTTAGTGGGATAGGAGGGAGGGGGTGTGGGGTGAGGTCTTACCAGTAGTGGTGACCTGGACATGCCACTTAACCTCTTTAAGATGGGAATAATTTCACAGGATTGTTGTAAAGATTCAAGTAAATGTGTGAGAGTGCTTTGTGCAGACATAAACAATGCATGGTGTTTTTGTGAGCAACATGCTTCTATTTTGTCACTGAACTCTTTCACCTTTCAGCTGCTTCGTTTTTGGTTGTACTGATCAGGAAGGGCCCTGATTTTTCTTGTTCTTGTTTTCTGAAAGGTGAGTGGGCAGGCTTTTGTGAGGAGTTTCAAGAGAAAAAGAGATCACCAGATCATAGTATGCTTTCCTAGTGCCAAGTGTCAGCTTTAACCAGTTTATGTGGATCAGCGTCCTGTGTTAGAGGGCTTGTACACAGAAGCAGATTGGGGTGTAGCTGTAAAAGGAGAGCGTGTGAGCTCTGTTTCTTCTTTGGGTAGTAAGCAGACTACTTGGTCTGTCCTTTTCTTTTTTGATGCAGTAAATTACTTAAAATTTTACTACACAGAAATATTAAACTGAAAAAAAAAAAAAAATACCAGAAAGGGCAAAGGTGGGTTACAGTTGATAATTGCAACTGTTTGTCTTAAATGATTCGTTTGGAAAAAAGCGATGATGATATTGGCTTTTCCCTTCTTGGTGTGTTCTGACAAAATGAGATAAGAGGTTTACAGCCGCTTTAGAAAGGTTTAATTTGATATTGATTTCTAGGGCTTGGTAATAATTGTAATAGTGTCTGCAGGCTTCTGAAGCAATGTTTATTGTTTGAGGTTCCTTTTTCAGGGCCCCTGGCATTCATTGCCGATCTGTTCTGTGGAGCGGTGGCTGAATTATTTCTTTGTAATTTTTGAAGCTACCATACTTACCTACCTTCTCTGGTGATGTTTTGTTGTGTTTGACGTTGAGTTCTTCTTCGGGGGTGTAATGCATATCATGGGTCCTCCATATTCTTGAAATTATCAGGAAAGAAGGAAGAAAGGGAGCTAACAGCAAAGACACCACATTAGAAGAGGAAGCCTAACAATTTCTGAACAAAGAGGGGACAGGGGCCACTCATGCTAACCTTGGCTCTTTCTCTTTTGAGAATTTTGGCAGACTGGCTGGCCTAGCTGTATATTTGCTAGTTTAGGGCTGTGAGAATTTACTGGTTTAGGGATCTTGGCTTACTGTTAATCCCCCCTCCCCCCATCCCCATACTGTTCCAGGGAGTAAGGCATGTCGAGGCTTCGGCTATGTCACTTTTTCTATGCTGGAAGATGTTCAGAGGGCCCTCAAGGAGATTACCACCTTCGAAGGCTGCAAGATCACCGTGACTGTTGCCAAGAAAAAACTGAGAAATAAGTCCAAGGAAAAGGGGAAAACTGGTGAGTTTCTAGTAGCTGAAGGGGGTTTCCCCCCAGGATTGAGGGGGCAGTGGATTGGCTCTGGGAGTAGTGTCTAGGCCTAAAAGCTTCCTGAATTTCCTCTTGATGTCCAAAATCATCCAGTGTATTTTGTTACTAGTTTTAGTCTTTTGTTTACTTCTGAGTCTGGAAAACCTGGTGTCCCTGGGCATTGCCATACTTAACCCTGTGTTAAATGCCATCTGTTGCTAGTAGCTTCTTTCCTGTGATGTTCTGGGCCGAGGGGATCACAGATTTACTTCATTGCCATTTATTTTTTAGAAAATTCAAAGTCCCCAGAGAAGGAGCTGCAGCCTAAAAAAGCCAAAGTGGCAGATAAGAAAGCCAGATTAATTATTCGGAACCTGAGCTTTAAGGTAAGAGACAGAGAAAACTAACAGTGAGTGTTCTGAAAGCTGTTGGAGCCAAGGCATGCTCATTGGTCACACTTCTCACCAGGATGGTATAATTGGGCTTAATTCCTTCTGGGAACGAACTTTAGCCTTGTTGAATTCAGAAAATGGGCCTGTATAAACAAGAACTTATTAAGGACAGAGACTGTGAAAATGCCTTGGGGAAACTACTGCTGAGAAAGGGAGGGGAGGAAAAGCTCTCTGATATCTGTCCTTTTTGCCTGTGTAGGTACAAAGCAAGATGTCGTCTATTTTGAAATGTTTGGTGTCCTAGTCTCAAAATTTAAAAAGGAGTACAAATATTCAAGCTCTTCCTAGTGAACTAATTGAATAGTTGATGTTTTGTGTTCATTTGCCATGATAATATCTCTTTTTCTTTCTTCACTTTTGGCTTCAGTGTTCAGAAGATGACTTGAAGACAGTATTTGCTCAGTTTGGAGCTGTCCTGGAAGTAAACATCCCTAGGAAACCAGGTACTGGCAAACCTTTATTTTGTGTGGGTTAGATTAAGGTTATTTTACATAATGGTCTTTTTCTGTATCACCTTTGAACTAAGCAGAAACACAAGGTTCGGGTCATACTCTGTGAGCCCCAGATGATATAATATGTGTAAAGTATCAGGCACAGTGCTTGACAAATAACAGTGTTTAGTCCCCTTATGGTATTGTTAGTTAGATCAGAACTACTTTTAGAAGACAAGTTACAGTTTGAGAAAATGCATTGCTCTCCCCAAGCCTGTGTCAGGGTAACCTCAGCAGGATATAGGCTTGTGCTTTGGGCAAGGGGCTGACTGGTTGATAGCATTTGGGTCTTCTTGCCAGTCCAGGTTGCTGTAACATCCTTCTTAGTGTCTGTTGGTTCCCTACCTGCTACCTCTAACTTCTTTGTTGTGTTTGCACACAGATGGAAAGATGCGTGGTTTTGCTTTTGTTCAGTTCAAAAACCTCCTAGAAGCAGGAAAGGCTCTCAAAAGCATGAACAGGAAAGAGATAAAAGGTAAGTTTTCTATGCCCATACCATTGACTCAGATATTTCTGGTGTTTAGGCAAATTAGCACAGTAACCCACTTTCTACATTTTCAAAAGGTGTTTGCCTTGTTGAGAGTCTCATTGCTAATATTGAAGCTTGTTTTGGTGAAATATTCCTAGTACTTGATCTTAGGGTTAAACTTGAAAGGACCCATGCTGTCCTTCTCTTTTCTTTTTTGGTGATGAGTGTTCTTTTAAATCCCTAATGAAAAACTGTCCCTGACTGATAGAGGCAGGTTGCTGTCTAGAGGATGCGGGATTAGCAGGTTCCTCCCTCTTGGTTATGATCGCTATTCAGCATCTGTGGGCTTTTTTTTTTTTCAATTATACATTTATTTATTTATTATTTATTTATTTGGCTGCATTGGGTTTTCCTTGCAGCAAGCGGGGGCTACTCTTTGTTGTGGTGCGTGGGCTCTAGGTGCACAAGCTTCAGTAGTTGTGGCGGCTCAGTAGTTGTTGTGGTGCGTGGGCTCTAGGTGCACAAGCTTCAGTAGTTGTGGCACGTGGGCTCAGTAGTTGTGGCTCACGGGCTCTAGAGCACAGGCTCAGTGCTTGTGGCCCACGGGCTTAGTTGCTCCGTGGCATGTGGGATATTCCCGGACCAGGGATTGAACCTGTGTCCCCTGCATTAGCAGGTGGATTCTTAACCACTGCGCCACCAGGGAAATCCACCTGTGGGCTTTTAAACTGACCTTGACGTTACTCTGGGTATTGATTTACCAGGTACAGTGCCTAAAGAAGGGATTGGCTTGGAGACTTCCTAACTTCTGAGTGACGTGCAGTTATTCCAGAATGTCTATTTTCCCTCTTGCTAGTATAACTGGAAACTTGGTCTAACTGGAAACACTGTTCTGATTCTTACTCTATCTTGTTCCAGGTGTAGTGGCTGTGTAGAAAGGCAAAACTTCTGTTCATTGATAAAAAGGTTAAGGGTTAAAAGAATAGACACCTACCAGGAGTTTTATTTTAGGACCAACAGTCTCTGAATCCGCAGTTTCTTCGTCTCCTTTGGTTCCATTACTGTCTTTGACGAATAGGAAGTCATTTATAGGAAATAGGAATGTTAAAGAGAAGGCCTTTCTGATGCTACTTTTCTGTCTGACAGGGCGGACAGTGGCTGTCGATTGGGCTGTGGCAAAGGATAAATATAAAAATACACAGTCTGCCTCTGTCGCAGGTAAGATGCAGTGGTGTTGGGTAGGAAGGGTTTTATGTCCTAACTGTTTGTCAGTCTGTATTGTACCATCTGGTGATCTGGTCCCCAAACAGGATCTTTTGAATATAAGCCCACTCCTTGATGTGGATGTGAAGAGTGGGGCCCAAGTTCATTTTCTCTACTACTTGCTGTACTTTCCCCAAAATAGGGAAACTTAAAACTTGATTTTTATTTAGAAAACAATTGGCTTTTAAGCCACCAGGAGCTCAGAGAACAGAACTCACAGAGATTAAATTTCATGGCTGGGCTCCAGAGCATGCATTGTGCTGGCCATGGTGCACAATGATAGGCTGTTTGCAGAGGCTCAGTTGCTGAGCCAGGTTAACCTTAAGGCTTCTGATGAATGGGACAGCCTCTGAGGGAATCTCAGTGATGAGGGGTTTTTGTTGTTTCTTTTTTTGCTTTTTTTTTCTCCCCATACTTTTTCCTATTATGTACAGTAAGAAAAATATGTGAGCTTCTGTAAAACCAAAGGAACCGGGAACTTGGGGTATTAGTTACTCTTGTTTAAATAACCTTGTTTTGGATACTAAATGAATTCCTAACTTTCTTTACCAACTATGTATGTAGGTGAGAAGAAGAGGCCTGAACCTAAGTGTCAGGAATTAGGTCAAGAGAATGGCAGGGAAGAAGAGGATATGGAGGAGGAGGAGAATGATGGTGGTGATGATGATGAGGAAGAGGAGGAGGACGAGGAGAATAGAGAGTCGAAGCTGACCAAGCCTGTGCAAATTCAGAAGAGGTACGTGGCTCAGTGTGTTCTGAGACAGCACAGGAAGAGTCAGGGTTGTCCCTGAGAGGAAAATGGTATCTTTCCCTGCCCCCGTCATTGCAGAATTGACATGTGTGGTGAAGTTGGAGAGGCAGGCCCCTCTCTCATCCCAGAACCTTAGTTCTGATCTGTGCCATTGCAGAGCAGTCAAGAGGGCAGCACCTGCAGAAAGCAGTGAAGAGGAGCATTCTGATGACAACAGCGACCTGGAGGAAAGAGACGGGATCGATGGTGGAGAGGACCTGGCTCAGAGTGATACCAACACTGAAGAGCAGGAGGAGGAAGGTTCGCCTTACATTTAAAATAAGTCACTGAGAAATGTGCATCAGTTCAGCTCAGTCCTCTTTTTAAATAGGACCCTAAGGTGTCCTGTCAAATTTATGTTTAAATGCTGAAAATGAAACCTTTATATTCCTTTCTTTTTTTAAAAAAAAAAAATTATTTATTTATTTATTTATTTTTGGCTGCGTTGGGTCTTGGTTGCTGCAGGCGGGTTTTCTCTAGTTGCCGTGAGCGGGGGCCACTCTTCGTTGCGGTGCGCAGGCTTCTCATTGCGGTGGCTTCTCTTGTTGTGGAGCACGGGCTCTAGGCGCACAGGCTTCAGTAGTTGTGGCACGTGGGCTCAGGAGTTGTGGCTCGTGGGCTCTAGAGCTCAGGCTCAGTAGTTGTGGCGCACAGGCTTAGTTGCTTTGCGGCAGGTGGGATCTTCCCGGGTCAGGGCTCGAACCCAGGACCCCTGCATTGGCAGGCGAATTCTTAACCACTACTCCACCAGGGAAGCCCCTATATTCCTTTCTTTTAAAGGTTTTTTTTTTTTTTTTTTAATGAGTTTGGAATAGTGTTTGAGGATTAAGATTCTTAGGGAATTTAAAACCTAGCTTAATGCTGAGGCACTGCCTCTGTCTCTCTCAATTACCCAAATTGGATGAATAACTGGATGAACAGGATATTGCATCCTACCACTAAAATGAGTTCTATTTAATTAATTTAATTTATTTACTTCTGTACTAAAATTACATTTTATTAAATGTAACAAACTGAGGAAGGGAAACACTTGTATTTTTCCATCCATGCTGTTGTCTGTAGACAACAGATAATACGGAGTAGATTTGAAAGCCCAAAGATGGTGTCTTTTTCCCCTCATTGATTAGAGGTATTATTTTAAGTGTGTCTGCAGTGTTAGCAAACCCCAGAACATCAGCTTAGTATATTCTACTCAGAATCAGAGGTACTTGAATCACTGGCACCTTCCAGGATGAAGACTGACAACAACAATAAAATAATCCATTATGATAGTAACAAACTACTGAACTCAGAATTTCTTATCTGGAAAAGCTCGGTTCTTTTAAGCAGTCTTTTCTGCCTTTTATCATGGGCTTAGGAGTCAAATCATGTGGATTCAAATCCTGGCTTTTCCATTTCTAATTGTCTGGTTCTGGTCAAGTCCTTGCCTCTAGTTTCCATATTACTTCATCTGTGATTGGATGTTAGAGGTCCCCATCTCCTGACATTGTGGAGAGTACCTTCCCAACAGTATTAGTTGCCTTTGTTGCTACTAATCTTATTTTTATGCACCCCCCTCCCCCCACCCCCACCACCAACAATCTTCTAAAAAATGTGTGAGTCTCATTAAGTTAGATGTAAGATGGCTGCTGATAAAATCTTCTGCCTTTAGTGGTCACTGGAAAGGAGGCGGAGGCAGTCTGAGCATTCCACTACTCCATTCAGTTGAGCAAATCAAGTCTCCTTTCCTCATCATTCGCTTAAAAAGAAACATTTATTGAACACCTACTAATGTTAAACTTTGGGCTGAACAGAAAAAAAAATCCTTGTTCTCTAGGAGCTTTTGATCTGGCTCCACTACTTTCAGTCACAAAGGATTGGCAAGAAAACAAGCAAAGACCAACAAAAACACTTCTGCACTTTCATCAGAGTTTTTTAAAAATGTAGATGAACCAGTTTGGAACTGATGAATGAACGCTTCTGTGCACACCCTCCCCATGTTATATGTAAATGCCCATGTGTTTGCTCTTTGGAAAGGTTGGAATAGATGCTTCATGTGCCAGTGATTTTTATACCTGTCACGAGAGAAAAATGTACCTTTTAAAAAAATTTTTACTATTACTACACCTTTGTTTATTCAGACAACAAATATTCAGAGTGCCTGCAGTGCTAGACACTGGGTGAACAGGAGTTAAAAGAAAATAAAACGCCACATTTCCTAGAGATCACAATAATAGCTTGTTTGGCAGAGGGTTTCAAATCCTGTCAAATCCTGTCTCTGCTCCTTTCTTAAGGTTTGACTTTGGGGCAAGTTACTTAACCTCTTTATAACCTCAGTTTCTTCATCTATAAAATGGAGATAATAACCACATAGGGTTGTTGTAAAGATTAAATTATTTGTGTGACTAATGCCTTGTACTACTAGTATTATCATTGTTACTGTTCTGTGGCAGTGGTGGAGTATAAACAACAATTTTGAATTGAAATGGGGATAAACGACCTCCTGGGGCATTTTGTAAAACTGTAACCAAACCATATTGCCACTTTTATCAAGAATGTTGGGTTTAAACTCAACTAGTTTATTGAGGGAGGCAGGTCATTACAGAATGAGGAGCAGTCAGTAAGTGGTCCTTTAGTTTGTCTGGGTGGAGGTTTTTATTCACTTATCAGGTCTCCCTTCTCCCTTTTCTGTAAGTCTGGCATGTTGATTTGACCATATGAGAAATCTGAGGAAATAAGCTTTTTCTGTGAGGAGAGAATAGTAGACACCTTAGAAGCAAAGAAGCTTTTATTCTGAAGGAACTGAGAGACCTTGCATTCTACAACCAGATTCAGCTGTCTCTTACCATTCTTTCACTTGAAAAAAATTATAAGACTGATGGATAATAATGAGAGAAAATTAATTAAAAATACAGTACAAAAAATATAAATGGTGCAGAAGGGTGTAATATAGAAATTTATGTAAGATCTTAATTTATGTAAGATCTTTAAAAGTTCCTCACCAGTCCTCCCAGTAGTTCCCCAAAGTAATCTGTTATTTCTTTTGTATCCTTCCAGAAACAATTTTCCGTGTACATATAAGCATATGTCTATTCTTTTTTTTTTTTTTTTTTTTTTTTTTTTTTTTT